AGACAAATTTCTCTTAATGGTACTTTTCATTGTCCTGCTCCTCTTCCTCTTCCTCCTCCTCCTCCTCCTCCTCGTCATCTTCCTCAGGGAACTCCAGGTCGGACTCTCCAGGCGCGATGGGGACGCTGATGGTGAGGTTGGGGTTGGTCATGTAGCTGTCATCCTCCGCGGCGCGCTCGATGATGGCTGTCCCGTTGCCCTCGGCCCAGTGCGTCTGCTGGCTCAGTCTCTTCAGCTTCAGCATGGCTTTGGCCTCCTTGGCCTTCTGCCGGCGCCGCTTGAAGTTCCCGTTGAAGAAGTCGCAGAGCGCCTGCCGGAGCCACAGCATCCCGCGCTGGATGCGAGCGATGGCAATTTGCAGGTTGTTCATTTCGCCGTCCTCATCCGGAGATGAGAGGTTGTCTGCGCTGAAGGAGCTCAGGAGCAACGCCAAGAAGAGGTTCAAGACCTGAAGAGAGAAGCAGCACAGCATTCAGGAGAACAGAAGAGCTGAATCTGTTAGAGAAGCTATAAAGAACAGGCATGATCTCTCCAAATCCACCTATAGTTTGACTCAACCTAGCAGCTCTTTTCATTTATAAACTCTAAACCAGCATTTTTCAAGCTTTTTGAAGATAATTCTGATTTATAACAAAGCTTCTGCTATAATCACAATTCTGCTCATTTTCAAACTTTTTATTTACAGAATCCAGAAATGGAAATATATATCCATAATTCCAATAACTGAATGTTCTTTGTGGTTTACACTTTTGACTACCAATGAATTTCCGTGATGTTTCTAGATTATGATTTTGTTTTATTTAATTTATATATATATATATATATATATAAACGGCTGCAAGCAAGTACAGGAACTTGCTACTGCCAATGCAAATGGCGATACGGTGCTGTGAGTATTTAAGACATACTGCTGCTGCACAAATAGCATATAAAATAACCCATAGCAGATCTATACGGGTGGAGCTGGGGAAGGTGGTGGGTTTTTTATTATTTATTATAAAAAGAATATATATATATATATACATATATATATAGTTTTTTTAACAACTGTAATTTATATATATATACATATATATATATATAAATAATAAAAAATAATAAAAATAAATTTTTTATCTTATCTATTAATTTACAGTTGTTAAGGAAATAAATTAAAACTACGAATTTGGCTTACTAAATCGTGATTTTTTAACTTATTTTAAACCTGGCTTTGTCTTATTTTAGACAATGACAATTAATGACAAATCTGTTTATTTTCTAACATTTTACTTACAGAAACTAGGAGTGGCAATTAATTAAAATAATAAAATAAAACGATTATAAATAATTACATCCTATAATTATAATAACTGAATGTTTTCTTCATTTACACTATTTATTACAAGTAAAATTACATTAGTTTTAAATTTTAAATGTAAAAAATGTTTAAATTACTTTTTACTCACAAAAAGCAATATGTACCCAACAACATGTTTGAGATTTAATTACTGTTTATATATAAACATTTAAAAATATATAAAATCAAGTTTATATATACATATGTGTACACTCACACACACGTTTTAATTACTTATTTATATATAAACATAGAAATTATATATAAACAATGAAATAAGTTGAAATTGAACTTCTATTTTTTTATTTTAAATTTAAATTTAAATGTAAATAATTTAAATTTAATTTTAATTTTAATTTTAATTTCAATTTTAATTTTAATTTCCATTTCCATTTCCATTTCCATTTTAATTTTAATTTTAATTTTAATTTTAATTTTAATGACTTTCCAGGTCCAGAAATCACACTTTTAAAATGATCTCATACAATGGGAACCTTGTTCTTAAGTAAAAACTATATCTGTCAAAGAAACAAAATAAAACAAGAAATATAATTTTAGCTTACATCTTCATTTTTAACCACTGCTCAAAACCCCAAAGACTTTCATCATCATCATGTGAAATACATTCACGCTATGAGAGTGAACAGCATTACATCTGTTGTGTGGCGCAGAAGAGGTGTGGGTAAACGATGACAGAGTCCTCTAACTAGTCCTCAAAGCACCGCGGCTTGACTTTATTCTTCTATTCTACTGCGTGTAGGCAGTCGACTTCTATAGCTGTTCAAAATAAGCGTCACTTTTCAAATCCAAGTCAGGATGGAGTTCTTGTGTAAAGGTCTCATGTACCGTGACACGGGGCTGTTTTGTGACTGTGAGGCCTGTAAACAGCAGGTGAGATGTGGAACTGGTTTTAAATGTCACATCTACCACCTACACACTCCGAGGGGGGCGACAGGCCCGCGTTCAATGGACAGTGTGTGTGTGTGTGTGTGTGTGTGTGTGTGTGAGTGTGTGTGATTAGACGCGCTCCGAGTGCCGGTGCTCTTATAATCAACTCCAGCATCGTGAGCAGCTGCAATTTCCTGCCAATAATTGTTCGGCTGCAGTTCATGAATGAAAGAAGCCAATCAAAATGATTATAAGACTGACGCTCGGAATCCCCTTCCCCGAGGACAGTCCAATTACACGTGCGAGACGTCTCACAAAACTACGCTTACAAAATGCTTCATTCACAGATTTCACAGAAATGTCATTTTTCTGAAGCAAAATACACACACATTTTACAATATATCCAGATTATGCAACATCATGAAGACCCTGGCTGGTTCGTAAATAGAAATCATTTTTAGCTTATTTCCAACTTTGTTGAGTCTTATTTAAGCATAATGACAAATCTGCTAACTTTCAACGTTTTAAAATAAAGAAAATGTATTAAAATAATTATATATAATTAAATACTATAATTACAATTACTGAACATTCTTCTTGGTTTACAATTTTATTACCAATAAAATTACATTAGTTTCTTAGTTTGTGATTTTAATACTTTGTACTCACAAAAAGCAATTTCTACCCAATACTGAATGCATAAAATAAAAAATATACATCTTCAATGCAATGTAAGAAATAATGTAAAAGTCTAGTATTTAAATGCATTAAGTAAAATAAAAAAAAATCATGTCTTCAATGCAATGTAGGAAATAATATAAAAATCTATCATTTGAATGCATTAATATTTTTTTAAAAACTATGTTCAATGCAATGTAAGAAATAATATAAAAGTCTAATATTTAAATTGATTAAATAAATGAAAAATTATATCTTCAATGCCATGTAAGAAATAATATAAAAATCTAGTATTTGAATGGATTAATATTTTTTTAAACTATATGTTCAATCCAATGTAAGAAATAATATAAAAGTCTAGTATTTAAATTGATTAAATAAAATAAAAAATGATTCAATGCAATGTAAGAAATAGTGTAAATGTCTAGTATCTGAATGCACGAAATGAAATAACAATGTGTACCATCAATGCAAAATGAGAAATAATATAAATGTCTAGTATTTTGAATGCATGAAATAAAATGCATCCAGAGAGAATATGTACATTTGCATTGGCAAGAGCTGAGCTACAGTAAACATTCACAACATTCAACACTAAAACCCATGATGTCATACAAACAAAACATAACAACATCCCCATGTGAAAACCCAAATGCACATGTGAGAGAGTCTGATTCAGAGCATGCAGCTGCCCTATCGGCTGTCTGTGGGCCAAAACTGTTGCCATAGCAGCACATTGTTTCGGTCACCTGCACAAAGGCGAGTTCTGGGGTCACATGTTCAATCACACGGCGTGGCATTGTTCCTGAGAGCTGCTGCTGCTGCTGTTGCCCTGGTGCAAACCTCACTTCAGAGTCAGAAATATCAGAGCGACGGCAGCGCTGCACCGCTCAAAGGTTAATTACAGACTAAATTAACATCAGCTCTTGTAAACATGACATATTGCTAAATTGCTGCTGTAGATGCTTGCAAAGAGTGCGTGGGGTTTGACAGCACAAAACTCACCGGCACTGATTTTGTACTCAATGCACATTGTGCTTCACACTGAAATACTGCATTTATGCTTGACAGTTACAGTGATGTTTGCATTAGGAAACTCTACTAGTTAAAGAGAATCAGAGCGAGATCAGATCACCTCCCCTCTGGCTGTATTTACAGACACACATCTGTCATCCGAATCTGAGTGACTGGACTATCAAAATACTGTATACTGAAAGTTTGGGGTTAGTAAGATCTTTTCTGCTCACTAAGGCTGGATTTATTTGATCAAGAATGCTGCAAAAATGTGAAATATTATTACTATTTACAATAACTGTGTACTATGTGAATATCTGTTAAACTGTAATTTATTTCTGTGATCAAAGCCGTATTTTCAGCATCATTACTCCAGTCTTCAGCGTCACATGATCTTCAGAAATCATAGTAATATGCTGATTTGCTGCTCAAGAAACATTTCTGATTATTATCAGTGTTGAAATCAGTTGTGCTGTATTATATTTTTGTGGAAACCATTATTTTTCAGGATTCTTTGATGAATAGAAAGTAAAAAAAATAAAATAATTTACTGAACATTAGTGTTACTTTTGATCAATTTAATGCCAGGGTTATTATAGTTTTATATATGTGTATTAAATCCATAAATCCATTTTAAAAAATCCACAAACATTTTCATTACTTAAAATAAAATAAATGCCAACCAAAATATAGTGTGAAAAAAAAACATTTTTATTACAGTAATTTTATTACAGCTAGCTTCCAAGGCAATATATATCATTTTCATTTAGTTTAACTTAATGTACTAAAATAACTCAACTAAAACTGAAATAAAATGAGTAAAAACAAAAATGACAAATCACTACAACTTTAACTAAAATTCCAATGAAAACAGAAAATGTAAAAATAAAAAACTAACTGAAAATCTTAATAAAAACAGGATTATTTTACTTTCTTTTCTTTATTTAAATTTTTTTTATGTTGATTTGTTTATGTCCTTATAGTCTACATGAAATGAAGTCTTGGCATCTATCCGAAATAAAATACATTTTTTATATATATGTTATTTCAGTTTTTGTTATTTTATTTAAATTAACAATTTTTTTATGGTTTTAGTTTCAGTTATAACCCTGATGAAAACTATAATAGTATCAGGGGCGGATTTAGTGATTTGGGGGCCCCAGGCAAAATACAGGAATCGGGCCCTATATATTTGCACACATTTACCTTGAACAGCCTTGAAGTTCCTTTGTTGTTGTGATGCTTGCTGCTGCACAATGGTGCCCCACAGTTTTGTCCAATGTTTGTACATTTTTCATGTACATGTTATAAGGGCTTTCTTTCATGCTTTAGACCACGAAATAGCAATTGATTTACAGCTTT